TCTCGCTTCCCGACCGTGCAGGGTCGCCTGAAAGGCGTTCGCAAAACCAAAATGCGTCTATAGCCGAGTCGGATGTTTTATCGTGCCAACTGCTGCTCTATTGTCCGCACCAAGTCGACGACGCCGTCCGCGGAGAGACGGGAGATTCCGAATTCGTCTCCATCGAACCATTTAAGAGGATCGAGCCTAACTCAGATAGTCCTCCTTCCAACATTTGATGCGATAACCGCATCCAAAATTCGATGCGATAAAGACGCATCACATGCAGGACAGGTTTTTTCGCGAGAAAAATGCATCGAACTGAGGCACTGAATTTTCTGTGTACAGGAGGACTATCTGAGTTAGGCTCGATCCTCTTAAATGGTTCGATGGAGACGAATTCGGAATCTCCCGTCTCTCCGCGGACGGCGTCGTCGACTTGGTGCGGACAATAGAGCAGCAGTTGGCACGATACTCCTCATTCTCTTTCCAAGTGCAACCACACCACCTTTAAACGTGTTTAAATCGTGGATAAACGTGTTCATGGAAACTAATCTGATTTTCGGTCTTGCATGTCAAAGATAAACACATTCTTAAACATATTTTACCAAACATGTTCATCTCCTTTTAAAACTAATCCTATTCTCAATTGGTGCAAGTCACTAATTATTTATTACAAGATTGATGGTTGGGATGCGGCGAAGATAATTCCAGTGATAGGCCAGTAGAATGGCAGATCTGTTCCCGGGCCGCTACTCTCCAGTTCAACGTTGCAATCAATTTTGACGTCAACGTTACTTTAAGGTTGATGAAAATGACATTTCAATACGGAGTCAACATCGATAAGCAAATGTTGAATGAATGTCGCAATGCTGCTGTTGAACATCGAATCAACGTTGATAGGCGAATGATGTTTCAGCATCAGCTGCGTTGACGTCAATCAATGTAGATTCATCGAGAGTGTGCTACTTGAGTATGGGTGTGCAAAGATCATGACTGTATCAGAGGTGCGCATCGGGCGGTCTTCACTGCGGTAATCCGCGGTTTCACCGCGACCGCGGTGCGGTACGGTCCAGGGATTGGATGCTCAAGTGCGGTCACGATGCGGTGCAGATAAAATTCAATAAACTATTTATTTAAAAGTAATTCTGTGAAGGCATATGCCTATTTTCTATTTCATTCCATCACCACGAACTTGAGCGATGAGAACAAGTATGGGAATGAGGCTCAATTATTCCTGGCAGCAAGCAGAATCGATCATTGCATCACGGGAAGAGGAATGAGCGGCAGAGTTTATACATATTTCTGTTTCATAGTCATAGTTTCTGTATATTAGACGTGGGCTACATTTATGCCTAGTGGTACAAAGAATGGCTTCTTCTGAAATAAATCTCTCCCGCTAGATGCAATGCTTTCCTGTCTGACCCGTTCCTTTATTTTCCACATGCCTCAGAGATCAGAAGGGGAAAATATGAAATGGGTGCAAACAAAAGTCAGGATTCTTCAGTCAGTTGTTGAAGGTGCTAGCAATTACATCCAGGGAACCTGGCAACTGTAATTAATTTCAGACAAAGTACTACTTTGACAGTTGGTGAAGTAAAAAAAAAAGTCTGCTTCAGAAAAATATTTTTTCATAAAATTGTACTGATGTGTCAAGTTTCATCAGGTAAATTGTGATCTCTTGAAAATTTTCTTCTGACAAAATTTGATAAAGATAAAGGCTCTTCGGACAAATTTCGGTTTCGGGTAAATTTTGTTCGGGCAAATCTACGTCTCGGGTTGAGGTCGATTCGGACAAATGTCGGTCTCGGACAAAAAAATGTTGCCTATGAGAACCTCTGCTCTGTATCTGTAGCTGGCTCACGGGAGCCCTTCAAATCCCTCATTTCCAACAAGTCCTTCATCTTTTTTGTCTTATAACTTCTGACTGCATCTTGATACCGAGATAGGAGCGGTACGTGAAGAAAGCTTTAACTGAGAACACACGTTGTGTTCAGCATATCTCTTTGTTAACTTTTTCTTTAAAATTTTGCCACGTACAATCATTCCCTTTAAGAAAGAAAGGAGTAAAAGGAATTCGATTCCGAGTCGGTTGACTATCACCGAGCCCCGGAAATGTGTGCTCTTTTAAAACGCGGCTCTTGATGGTCCTGTGGAGGAGCAGGTACCAGAATGACGTAGGTCTTACGACTTTCTTACGAAGGTTTTCACGCGTTGGGTCCGTACTCGTCAGAGAGATTCCAAAAAGAGAGATTCCAAAAGCGAATGCGTATGACGTATGATGAGATCCCCCCGATCTCATCATACGTCATACGCATTCGCTTACGTCATCGAGGGCATCGATAACGTGGGGCCTTCTGCTTTCCCTCCAGCTTGACGGTAAAAGCGGAACTAGGAGCAAGAAGCTCTATCTGCGTAAACCTCTAAAGAGTCTAACGAGAATCGAGTAGCGGAATGACTTCGTTCGTCGGTTAGTGACTGAACGGAGCGAGTCAGGTGACGATGTAGACCAGTGGCATTCAAAGTGCGGCCCACTTCATGGTTTTATGCGACCCTAAATGCCTAAAATTCCGAACCTCCACAAACTGCAGAAAAAATGTCTTTCCTCGCAAGTGATTGAAGTTAAGGCTAAAGAAAGAAGTATTTATCGAAAATACAACTTGTAACAAAGCAGCACCTGGAATCGATGCGTTTACATGAGCCCCGACTCCAAGTAGTAGCAGTTTCGTTATTAAGAGAGGTGGAAGTGTGAGTGGATGTGGTAAGAATAAGCAGTTTTCGATTCCTGTTCATTTTTAAAATGGGACTTCCCGGTTTAGAGTAGCTTGACAACGAGATCAATGGCGAGATAAAGGGTTAACCATGCAAAAATGCTGGATCTTTTTCAATGCGGCCCACTCCAGGTTGACTAACGTCACTAGTGTGGCCCACTAAAAGTGGACCAAAGTGCCCATGCGGCCCTCGCCTCAAAAAGTTTGGGGACTACTGATGTAGACCCTGCCCCTGTTCCGTGGATGGCTTTTAAAAGTGGGTACGAGGGGTGATCAAAAAGGTCTAAGCCTGAGGCACTGCCAATTGTAATACAGTCAACTCTCGATATACCGCCACAGTTGGTCTTCGTCGATATTGGCGCTATATCGAGGGTGACGCTAAATCGAAACGCACTGCAGTAAAATGGGGAAAAAATTGAACCCCTATAAAATATTCACGAAAATCACTTTAATTCATCCATCCTGTCACTGGTCCGCACCTCAGAACACACAAACAGCACGGCTTAGAAAAATGATTCCATTCATGATGAATTCCAATTATATCTCATTTTCAATGAGAATCAATAGGCTTTGGTAGCGCCTATTACCTTTCTTCAACCCCCTCCAGTAGAAAAATTCAACCTCCCCATTATTCCTCTCTGAGAGCATCAACAGGAACGAAACATGTTTCTTCCTTTCTCGACACAGAATAGCTCCAGCAAATTTGGAGCTTCATCTCCAAGGGGTTGTGGAGAACAATGAATCTCGATTTTGGATGTGAATTTCATTCCGTTTTTTTTGAAGCGGTGGTTAGCAGTGATTGATCGATGTGGTGGGATATGGAGGTAACTTATCCGGACATCCCTAAATTAAGTGGATGAAGCGCACCGGGGATTTAATGATTCCTGGAGGTATTCCCTCCTCAGACCTATTCGAGATGGTTCGAGGAACTCCAGATAGACCTAACGTTCCACGTCCGCACTGAAATGGTTCGTGAAAGTATGAATAGGCCAGCGATTGGCATAAAGTTACGTCCTTGACGAGATGTTTCGAAAGCCATGGATTCCTCCTTATAGGGCAAATTGGTCCCGTAAGGCCTTGGCGTGACCTGAGTTAAGGCAGTCTATTGGTTAGGCCTAAGTCTAACGTTAGCGAGTCACGTAGAGAAGGGTGGGGTTGAAGAAAGAGAAAGCCGTTGAAATTGGTTTTCACATTATTTCATAGCTCCTATGCACCGTCTGCTCACTTTATTGTCCCAAACCCCCCAAAAAATTGTTAGCAAAGTTTTGTTGACTTTCGACCACATGCGTCTCCTCCTAATGACACACTTTTAATTTTTCCTTCACACTTGAAACCGTTATTTTCCCCATCTCTGGATAGTGAACAAACTTGAAATATCGTCTGGAGAAGCAGCGTATCATCTGTATGAGACGCTCCCATTCTCAAAGAGGAAGAGACAGGATTAGGCCGGATTAGGCGACCATATACGCCCCCTCTAATGCCTGGAGGTCCATTGTAACGTTTAGTCATTACTCACAACTATCATGCGACCGAATGGAGCAGCTGGCATCATTACATTTTGTATACGGCACGATGATTGCGACCGGCACAGTATGTTGCTTGGCGCAATATCGAGTAGGACTTACGTAGAATAAGACATTTTTGTGCAAGTTAAGGTGTTGGCGGATGGCGGCTTGCGAGTGTGGCGCTCTAACGGGGAGCACCGATGTTAAACCTATAGGGAAGGTTCGTTCTCAGGAAAGAGTTGAGTGGCGGTATATCGAGGGTCGACTACACCTTTTTTACTCTTCTCATGAGAGGACAGATGGTTCTGATGGTGACTGGCGAAATGTCATCTTATTTTTCGGTTAAATATAGCGTCTATTAATTTTTTTTTTCCCAATGTGCCACCAAAGGGAGAAAGAGAGGGAGATATTGAGATGAGTGCTGTGATTAACTATGGGATACAGTTACCATGCATGTCTATGTCTTTTCCTTCTTTTTTTTGGGCTTTTCTTGCAAAGTGAGGGGCACGTGCCCCCCTTGCCCCCACGCTACACCGCTATTCCAACCAAATCGAATGACTTCGAGCGTGCCCTCGTGTCCTTATCGAGAGACATTGGTACGAGCAGTAAGGGCACTGATTTTTTTTTAGATCGTACGTTAAGTTTGAAAAATTGGACCCAAAAAGGGCTTTTGAAATCGGAAGAAGCAGCATGGTCTTCACGAAAGGGACGAAATCTAGTAAATAATCGGATCGATCTTCTTTAGGAGAAGCACGTACGCCGTGAAAGACGACGGGAAGTCGTGCGCGGTGATCCTTTCCGACGGAAGCGAGGAGTCGTGTGAGAACGCGACGGAACCGGCTTCCTTCTCTCGCGTTCTGGACGAGGAGGACCCCGAGAAGACGTGCTACCTCAACGTCTCCCTTCCTTTAAAGAAGAGGGCTTGGTTGTGGCAGTGCACTGCGGTCGTCAACTCCACTCATCTCATCTCCAACAATTCTATCGTGAAATACCTCAAAGAAAACGGTGAGTCTTGGCCGTTCGAACGACTGCATCCGCAATCGCGAGGTTCGCCAGAGCGTGAAGCCGATAGTGCCTGGATGTCCTTGCGAACGTCGAACGTCGCCGTTCGTGCGCGGCGTAAGCTCTCAGAGTGGCTCTTGGCTAAATGGAGCTGCCTGTTGCCTCTGTTTCTTAAGCATTTCTCATACCGAAGGATTCCTTCCATCTGCACTTTGAACATAACTGAATTTATTTCCCGAAGAAATAAGCAATAAATGCATGTAACAGTTCAGGTCATTTAGACCGAGTCCGGCTCGGAAAAAACGAATAGAGAACGTAAGCAACGTTGCATCAAGACACGGTCGAGATAGGCTACCATGGGAGGGAGAACGTTATGGAGCAGTGGCGGCTCGTGGCTTATGCTTTAGGGTAGACCAGTGACGTAGTCGAGGAATTGGGGCTGTCCTGGCTTCCATCTCTCCCCCATAGCATAAATACGGTTTTTTTGGCCCTCATAGAACTTCATTGGTTCTCCGAAATATGAGACTCTCGATACACCACTGGGTTAAGCACAGGATGCCATATGTGTGATTAGCGGCGTAGCGTCGGGGGGCACGTGCCCCCCACTTTTCAAGAAAAGAAGCCAAAAGAAGAATGAAAACACCCATGAAATGCATAACAGTGTCTCCTAGATCCGGTGCCCCCCCCCCTCTCCACCAGGGACGTAGCCAGGAACTATTTTCAAGCATGTCTTGTGCAGCTCTTTCTAGCGCATGATATGATGATAACGCCGAGGAAGGTGAGTGGTTGGGAGAAATTAGGAAAATTTCGAAAGCCCTTTTGCATACATTCTTGGAGGACTCTATTTTCTCATTCTATTACAATACCTCTTTCTTCCCGCACCGTTTTTAGACGCGAGGAGATATCGGTATCGCCCTTCAGATAGATGGTTGGATGAAAAAATCCAATCGATGAATTTAAAATTCTTCAAACCAAGAGTTGAGCTTTGAATTTCGGGTTTGGCAGCTGTGGTACCATATCCAAGCATACGAGGTCTGATAAAAAATTTTCAGTACTTTCTTGTTAAAAAATAAACCGCTTTAGGTAGGGGGCTAAGACTAGTGTAGGTGGGAGAACGGGGGGGAGTAACCGCACGCACGATGAAACCTCCTTTGCGCTAGGATTAACCAGTCGCGAATCACGAGTGTGGAAATTCGGTCGTCTCTGTGCTCTTCGTCGAATTTTCGATCATGCATCATGATCCTGATGCATCATGATTTTGTCCCACAAGGCCAGACAGTTAACCAGGCTTACTATTAATACAAAGATACGAGCTGACCCGTCTGCGAGAAAAAATTAGGAGAAATGGTCCCCAACTTTTCCAAAATGAAGCCTGGTTTTTGCATCACGACAATGCTCCAGCCCACACTGCTCTCACAAATCGAGAGTTTTTGGCTAAAAAAAATTCCTGTGTTGCCCCACCCTCCCTATTCACCGGACCTGGCTCCGTGTGACATTTTCCTGTTCCCCAATGTTAAATTTCACCTGAAAGGAAAAAGATTTGAAGACATTGCAAGTATCAAGGAAAATACGACGAGGCAGTTTAAGAGTCTTACACTCCAGGACTTCCAGCACTTTTTGTGCGTTCCCGTTTTCCAAAAATAAAATGTCGTTTTTACGGAAGAGCGAGCAGTGCGAAACCGACTACCTTCCATAAGCCATCATTACATTTCATTGAAAACGAATACAAATATTCGTTTTCGGTTGTTATGCAAAATAATGAACTACGCAGTAAAATTGTAAGAGGCATTCTTGGGGATATTAGGGGACCGATTAAAATTCGATTAATCTCGACAAATTTTGTAAATCGTGATTAATATTTTAATTGATTAATCGGTCTATTAATCTAATGAATTGACAGCCCTAATTTTTTTAATCGTAAAGCCTCGATGAATGTCAAATAGCAAATGAAAGCCTGTACGTGCAGAGACGGTTGTGGAGACTGGACTGGTATCTTCCCATGCGAGCGTAGTCCTTGTTCCTGTCATTCTTATCCCCTCAAGGTGATAATTTCATTCGGAATACCACTCTAAAGCACGGGGGCTGTTAGTACGTAGTTAGACTACCGGCTTGAGGGGCCAATCCCCTCTCCTGGGAGTGCGTGATGTGGAAGCAGAAAATGATGAAACGCTGTATAAGTTAAGAGTGATCATATTAAAAAAAAGTGTAATGGGAGTACAAGTCTCTTCAGTTGTGTATGTGAAACTTTTCACAACCCCACCCCCGCAGAGGTTGTTGAGCCGGCTCCAAGACTAGGTCTTCGTTTGGGACATTGGAATTGTTCCAGGTGTTCCTCCATTGGTCCTCTAGGCTGCACGGTGTTCGAAGGAGAGCATCTGCAGTAACCTAGAACGGCTCCCTTTATGTATTTAAGACGAGGTGGTGGTAGGTTGTTGAGGTCCGCATGGATGAGCAGGTCTTGGTTGGCGCAACGGTGATATTCCCATGACGCCGCAGCTTCCCGGCGGAGAGATGGAGGCGCGATGTTTATTAGCACCAGGAGCCATGGTAGTGGCGTGGACGTGAGGGTTCCGGTCATGATCCTCATGGTTGAGTTCAACTGTTCGTCGACCGCGTTCAGGTGTGCGCTCGAAAGCCATGCTGGGCAGTAATACTCGGCGGTCGAGTACACTATTTACTGACTCTCACAAGGAAGCCCAAATACTCGTATTATTCTGATTGAAGGCATATTGAGACGTTGTCATATAAAAAGTTCAAAATGACGTAAAAATTACTTAAATTCACTGTATCTCTCGGTGCTCTCTTTCTTGCCTGGTCCAGGTTAGGTCCGGCCTAACATGCCTGCCCCAAAGAGCCGTCACTGCTAAGGAGACTCGGTATCGGTACTGATATAGATTTTCAATATGAGGTTACCAAATAGGAGGCAGTTCGTGCCCGTTTTGCACTCCAGCACGTCTCGAAAAGCCATTACCCCACTTAGAACCATTGTATTACATCCTAGCTTTTAACCCTTAAAGCGCGACGAACGGATGTATCCATTTGAGCAAGTCTGCGCTTTTTATGCATTCATTTGCTCTATGATACCATTGTATGATATCACGACCGTAGAGGCACTTTGGCATCAATGAAGAAAGAACCGGGAAAAGAATCGATAAGGTTAAGCAGCATTTTTTCGCTGCAAGCTTTGACGGTCGAAGGGGCGGGAATGAGACCGAAATGCTGCAAGCGAGTGAAGTTCGGTGGACATTTCAGTGTCGGGGAAGGACCTTCCAGTGACGAGAGATGGGAAAGCCGAGAGGGCGTCCGACCAGATCATCAGGGTGTCTTGGAGGCAGTCCGCCATCGGGGACTGCATATCGAAGTACACCATCGTGGCCCACCCGGCCATCAGCATCGAGGCGAGCTTCCAAGACGCAGAAGTGGAAGGGGACGACGAGACCCTCCGGGCATCCCTATCCGTAGTGGTGAGAGGCTTTCCCGTTGCGGTCCATCGGCGCGATCGAGACTCGTCGCATTTATAGATTTATTTGAGAGATGTGTGAAAGCCGGCACGGGGGCTCGAATCCAAGCAAACCGTCTCGCCGGTTCCGTTCCGATGAAATTGATTTCATTTTTGAAGGGGGCAAAGAGAGAAAACAAATGAACGGTCGGCCCAAGCAGCCGAAGAGAAAGAAGTGAGATTTCGTTAAAAAGAAAATTTATCGATTGAAAGCATACACACAGAAAATTCAGTGCCTCAGTTCGATGCATTTTTCTCGCGAAAAAATCTGTCCTCTATGTGATGCGTCTTTATCGCATCGAATTTTGGATGCGATAAAAACGCATCACATGGAGGACAAATTTTGGATGCGGTAAAAACGCATCACATGGAGGACAAATTTTGGATGCGGTAAAAACGCATCACATGGAGGACAAATTTTTTCTCTACCAAATTGCATTAATTTGATTCTGCGTGTATAGGACGATCGCCCACCTCCTATGGGACACTTATATTTTCCTCAACGAAGCAGCTGTCACTGCTTCAATCGCATATCATTTTAACTATAAAATATAAACATGCATAACACTCAATACGAATGGTGGTGTCGGGCACAGAGTTTAAATCAAAATCATCGATGAAACTGAAATATAATATTGGGCATCCATGGCGATCAAGTGCTAGGCCGGACCTTCAAAGGGTTCAGGAAATACGTCGTTTTCAGATTGAATTCGTACCCAGTGGCTGTATTTTGGCTGAAGAGTCAGGGGGCCAGGGCAGGAAAGTGGGGGTGCCCAACCCCATCAGAGCGATATCAGCGATATCATATTAATGTTTTTCACTTGAGTCAGACACTGTTTCAATTGACTTCGGCACTCATGCATGAGGAACGTCCCATGCACGTGTGTCCGAATCAAGGGAAAAGTTGTCTAACTCAAGTGAAAACATTATCGCCAAGGAGGCGCCAAGCTCTGTCTCATGGGTGCCCCGCCCCCGCCCCCGCCCCCCCCCCCCCCCCCCCCCCCCCCCGTAAAATACGCCACTGTTCGTACCCCATTCATCCCCAATACACACGAAATAGGGCACTTCCATCGATTGCAGATAGCGACACCGATAAGCGCGGTTATTTAAAACCATCTGATGAAGGATGTCCTCTGGAGTCTGAGCTTTCTTTTTGTTTCCTTCTACCCGGGGGGGGGGGGGTGGTACTATGAATTCAATCCGAAAATAATTTGCGGGTGCACTAATTGATTTAAGATGATAGGCTACAAATACTGGTATTCTTTAACGTTAGACAAACCTATTGTGGGAATATAGTGGCTTTTGAACTTAGAGCCCGAATGCGATATGTGTTGCACCACCAACGCACCAAACGGAATACAAACAACGTATGAAACTGGACTCGAAGAATGAAGTAAGCGGTTACATGGGAATCCCTTCGAGACGCACTCGCCACTCGCACGGGTCGGAGGGAAGGTGAAGTGGCGAACAGGCCATGCACTCAGGTGGTTGCCTGTGAATCCCTTGTCAATGCATAGCCCCGAGGGTTCAGGGGGGGAGGGAGAGGGGGAAGGCTTCCTCGGCACGAAGTGGAATACGGAGGTTAACATGCGTCTAGACGATGCAAGGCAACTCAAACCACCCTCTCGACTCTGCTATCGACGCATTTTGGTTTTGCAAACGCCTTTCAGGCGACCCGGCACGGTTGGGAAGCCACAGATATAAATCGAAAATCCAGCTGATGTATTTTTCTCTTGAGAAAAAGAAATCGAAATGCGAAAATTGAGAGAAGTATATCGTCTCGATTCACCGATTTCTCTGAGTGTAGCTATTCTCGATTCAAAATACTAGGTATACACTCATCGCCAAAAAAGAGCGCCACCAAGGAGTTGAGCGATCTCGATGAAATTCGGTAAACAAATTCGAAACAGTGTGTCATAGAATTGATTAGAGTTTCAATGGTGTAATATGAATATTCACAAAGTAAACTTGCCAATCATCCCGCTTTAAGTAGGGACGAAGGGGTCGTAATAATCGCCCAAAAATACTTTATTATTGAAACGTGGAACGGGAACTCTTACAGATGGGTAGGAAAATCGAGGAAAGTTCAGAGGATGAGTGAATGCAGAGAAAACTTGCCGAACATCCGAGGAATGGAGGGAGAGGGCTCATGGATGCCGCCAGTTTTCTTTTCCCTTCAAGCCCCTTTGCTATTCGGTATTTGTTGGAGGTTCCACTGCAATCGCGAGGTGAAGTCTCTGAAGGCAATTTCAACAAGCGTTCATCGATGATGGTTAATTGGTATGCATGCATCAGCTTCATGGATCAGCCTGATGCATGCTAAGCATCCCAATCACCTTATTTTCCTACACATCTGTAAGAGTTCCCGTTCCACTTTCCATTCATAAAATCCTTTTGGGTGACCGTTTTCGGGCGATTAGTACAACTCCCTCGCCTCCGCTTAAATTGGGGTGCTTGCCAAATTTTCAATTTTCCAGCATTTCCAGCGGGAAATTTTGGAGTGGTAGATCTTTGCCTAGCCTAGTACTGCAGTGTCAGTTCCATCAATTAAATTCGATGAAACAAGGGACCATAAAATGCAGCTTTTAGTGTAACGTTCCTTTGAACTTCTTCCCAACTTGTTACATATTCTTGTGCCTTGTGAATTTCACAATTCCTCCAAAAGTACAGCTTTTTTCATCTTTATTTGGACATGGAAGAAACTGTCTTTCCTACTTCGGCTGCATTAGAGGGTGGAATATAATATTTATGTTGCTACTGGGAGCAAAGGTTTCTTGGTCAGCAAATGTTTTATACAAGAATTAAATCTAACAGCATCCAATACTGATTAAGGTGCATGTAAATTCTTTGACAGTTTGATTTTTAAGAAGCAATTTTTGCTAAACTGCACACTTCAAAAAGTCTTAGTAATGATGTGATGTGAGGATGTCTTCAGTAACAAGGTTTTCAGTTATCAGAGACACAAGGGGATTCATACCAATTTCTAATAACAGATTTCACCATCTTGGTAGGATATAAATTGGAGATCGTGCTCTCCAATCTAGAGTGGAATGGATCTGCAACACTGACGCCCTTTAGAAGTCTAAATGATGGACTACATCTCTACAGTTTATTTCTTCTTTCTTTCCTTTCCTTGTATTGATATTATACTGAACCCTAAGTTGCACCGCGCTCAGTTGTCGATGGACCATTTTACAAGTAATTATGGTAATTATCTGTTGCCTGTTCTTCAGGTATTTACAAACTTTCTAAATACATTTCCCCTTACTCCATAGTTTTTATCTTCCTCAGTAATATTCCATAGTCAACAGCATCAATACTTTATTTTTTTAATCTTTCAATATGATCACAAGATCATTTATCACAGTGACATTGAAGGAATTCTTCAAATTCTTGAATCACAAAAGTAACAAGAAGCAACAAGCAACAAAAAATCAAGCAAACTATAAAACTACACTACAGATACTATCCAATCCATGAACTCATGTTTAATATTCAACTGCCACCAAGAACATAAACATTAGAAAAACTGCAATGAGCAAGATGAGCAAGGCCTAGGCCCGAACAAAAAGGGAATTCCAAAACTCAGTTCAACCCATGGCCTCTATGGCCAGGACCCTCCCACCTGTAATTCAATGTCCACGGAGCACGTCTTTCCGAATCTAAAAGAAACTTGAAGAAACTGTGCCCATTTCTGCTACTGTTCGAGGCGTTTGGGACAGAACGCCCTGGCATCTCAATGCATAGTAGGAGGAACGGGACACTCAGCATGGACTAAAGATGGCTCCATCGCAGCCTATCATTGTGCCTATGGATCGTCCTTACCTGAGAGCTAGAGCGTCTTCGTTTTACCTTGCAGCTAAGGCCTCTCTAGAGACATTGCGCTTATTCGGGACTCTCAACACGGCTTTAGGAGGCGTCGAAATTGTCTCCCCAATTTGCTGGAATTTTACGATTGGGCGACGGTAGAGAGGGATAAGGGGAATCCCGTGTACATCGGCTATTTAGATTTCGCGAAAGGTTTCGATACAGTTCCTCACAAGAGGTTCCGGATTAAATTGGGAGGCCCACGGGATCCAGGGTAGGACGAGCGAGTGGATCTGGTTGACGGGAAGAGAGCAACGAGTGATGCTGAATGGGGAAACGTCGGAGGTCGACTCCGACCTCCTTCGGCAAGCGGTGTCCCTCAAGGTTCGGTCCTTGGGCCGCTTCTGTTTTTGGTCTACATAAACGATTTGGATCTCGGCGTAGAGGGTAAGATAAGTAAATTTGCCGACGACACTAAGATAGGTTTTACCATAAGGGGGGAGGTGGATAGGGCTAGAGCCGAGCGAGATTTAAGTCTTTTGGACGAGTGGAGCAAGAAATGGCTAATGAGGTTTAATAAAAGTAAGTGTAAAGTTCTCCACGTCGGTCGAAATAATGGAAGGTCTCTCGACACGTTCGGCGAGGTTAAAATGGGGGAGGCAAACGGAGAAAGAGATTTAGGAGTTTCTATCGACGATGACCTCAAGTTACCTAGCACCTCACTAGCACTTGCAGATATCGAAATGAGTGTAATCGCCTCTTGATGTCACTAACAACTAGAGCTGTACCGATGTATCGGCTAACACCGATATCGGCCTATGGCAACAGTGCCGGTGCCGGTGCCCAAAGGACGAGCAAAGAAAAAAAAAAATTAGGTGAGGGTGTGAACGCGCCTCGGCGGCCTTCCTACCTCACTTCTGCCACTCTGGCCATCCTCTCCCAGGTAAAAATACCGATCGGATTTGTTACAGCCGTATTATAGGGAACGGCGGAGGAAAGCAGTGGTAAAGGACGGGATATCATTGCATCGCCATTTAGAGTCAAGAGTCAAGATAGTGACATCAAGAGGCGATTTCGCCCATTTCGATATCACGTGTCGAGGGTTCCTTAATTTTAGGGTAGGCCTAACCCTCTTGCGCCAACAATTCGCCCTTATTTGTAGGCTTCCAAAATTGGATGCAATATTCCAACTGAGGTCTTTTCAGGGCCACAAGAATGATTAAGGAGGTTAGGGGACTTCCGTACGACAAGCGTTTAGAAGTGTTGGGACTTTACTCACTCGGGAGAAGGTTAAGGAGGGGCGATATCATCCAGACATTCAAGATAATTAAAGGAACAGATAATGTCGAGTGTAGTAGGTGGGCGCATTCAGTTGTGACCCGGGCCATGACTCGAGGGTCTCAGTTCAACGCTTGCATTGAGGCTTCAAAATAAATTTTCCTCCATATTGACACTTCTTGTCAATGTCATCAATCCTGGGTATAATAGTTTTTGAAAAGCGCTGCACCTGCCAAGAATCATGAACCTCGAGTCATGACCCGGGTCACAATGAATTCGCCCAGTGATGCCTAACGATGACTTCGTGGTTGCATCGGGTGTATCAAAAAGCATTAGTACACGGGAGGGCTACTATTATCCGGTATGGTGGTTCCTCTTGTTAAGAAGGGGGATTCGAGGGAGTGTACCGATCATAGTGCAATCACTCACCTCAGCTCACCTGGTGAAGTGTTCGCGA